CTATATAAGCGTACGCAATATCAGAAGGTCCGGGTAGTAGTTCTCAAGGATGGACTCAAGTCCTGGTTAGTCTTACTGAGCTCACGGTATTCGCCGATATCTCTCCTCATTAATAAAATTGTATTCAAAGTAGTCACCATTCAAGGGAAAATCTTAATACCGCGATTCAGAAATCACGCGAAATGAGTCAATGCCATCTAGCGGATTCTTAATGAATTAAAAGTGAACAATCTAATACTGATCTGTGGTCTTATACATAAAGTAGGTTTGTTACACAATGATATTCAATTGTTTTAATGTTTTTCCTTCAGTTCGTGGACGATGACACCCTACCTCCAGTTTTAGATGAAAATGCACTGGACGAACTCTCCCGTCAGATCTTCAACGAGGCAAAGCTCTGGGAAGCCATCCAAGAAGCAAGCGCTGAACTGGCTCGGCGGAAACAAAAGGAACTGGCTTACAATCAATGAATTTAAATGGAAAACATGGCGGCAAAATTTTAACGTTTTTTTATATTGTTTTACTGTTTTTGATCCTGCGAATACTGCACTTATTTTTTAAATACACAGACAATTTATACTTTAAAGAGGTGTTACTTTGGTACTAAAACGTAAGAACGAGGTGGTAATGTAACAAGTGATCACTAGACGGCAGCTGTAAGCAAGTGGAATAGAAAACACAACGGCAACGTGATGGTTCCTATAAACTTGGCTAGATGTCACTGTAATAAAAATGTTTATGGAGACAGCCAAAGTAACATACATTATTCTTGTGCAATTTTAATTTATCACAATTTTTTCAATTTTAAGTTTCTAAGCTAAATAGTAAAAAAAAAACAAAATTTTGCCGTCACAAAAACGATTGTACTAACTGCTTGTATACCGATAAAGCCGTAGCGTTTCGGCTAAAAAACATTGTTCACTAGTCGCTCAAAATTTATAGGCGATGTAAAATTTTTAAAAATATTGATGTTGTAGATATAGAAATACTTTTCAAATGGGGGTTATTTTTTTTAAAATTCGCTATATCGAAGTAACTGTCAGTTGTGTCAAAAATATTCACCTGATTGTCTCAATTTTTATCCATAGACAGCTATGTTCCTTGGATTTGAAAAAAAGAAATAGCCCTTATTTATATCTAGTCGTAAGAAAAGTGATTAACCAAAATATTTTAAGACCTAGGAGGTGACAATTTTTTATAGTTATTAGATTTTTATTTAAGAATAAAAAAATGTTAACCCAATAACGAATTTAAAATTCAATGACGCCAATAGAGGCAAAAACAATTATGATGCCATTTTGTTTTAACATCATTTAATTTTGACAGATAAAAAAAAATGGCGACTTGACATCGTTCTTTATGTCCTAACTCAAACAACCAAATTAGTGTTGTTTCGCTTTGCGATTTGTTTTTATCGAGTGAGAGTTGCAGACTATGGAATGTACTTTAACCAGGCAACCCTCTGAAGGATAGAAAAAAAAGATAGTTTTTAAGAAATACGTAAAGAAAAAATACCAGCGACTTTTTAATAAGAGCTATATTTGTCAAAAAAAATAATTAACATATTAGTCATAAGAAGAAAATATTTAATGTTGAAAAATTATAACGATGGAAAAATAATACAATTCATCTGATTCTGAATGTTTTATTTCATTAAATTTTCCATAATTTTAATTATTATTTAAGTCTTAACATTTTTTTTTCGTTAAGTCACAATTTTTTGTCTATCCAGCCTTAATAGACAGAAAATCGTTTATAAAATACTTTTTTTAATAATACACACAACTTATGGAATATTTTGTAATAACGTCATAGACTAGTTCATGCCAGTAAGGAAGAAAATCGTAAACCACATTTCTAGAGTACTCCTAATAACTTACATTTCATGTAACTTTATAAATTTAGTAGGATAATAGTAAAGATTACATATAAACCAACCAACCAAAACCAAGTAATCATTTGAAAAGCAATACTGCCCTCCTTGTCGCCTAAAGTTTTTTTAAACTAAGTAAGATATTAAAAAAGCAGCAGATCTCGTTGCGCGTTGATCCATTTTTTATGTAAAGAAGGAGGCAAACGACCTAGCCATTTGATGGCAGGTGGTCATCGTCGCCCATGAACATTTACAATATCAGATGATCTGCCTATGGGTTGCCATACTTTGAGAGCTCTGTAACACACAGATCCTTTTCAATCGCTGAAGTTTCTTCTTTTTATATTGCTAATTTTTTCTATTTTTTTTCTAACAATTTTGGTAATATGGCCTTCAATTAAGACATGGTAATTTTTTGTCATAACAATCTTCTTATTTTCTTTAGAGTAAGAAAAATATATTCTTCTAATGTTACCGTTTCATTTTCTGGTTTCACTTCATAAGATGATTTTTGTCTTCACTTCTTTCGAAAATAGAGGATTTCTTTCCTTGTCAATGTTGCAATCTTTTGGTTTTAATATGATTATTAACACAAACAAAAATTTATTTGACCCGATGGGACTTGAACCCATGACTACGCACCGTAGCACTGCTCTAACCAACTGACCTGCAGGTCGAGTTATCGTGTTGTCGAAATTCTCTTATATATTTTTTCGTTATAGATCTTCGTAGTGGAGTTTTTCGGCATTCTGTGCCGCTAGTAACATCCAGTTTGGTTTTTAACTTTCTATTATTAATATTTTTTGTCACAGTTAATGTTGTTTTTTTTGTAAACGGAAATTTTTATTTGTTTTGTGTTATTAATGTCGCTATATTTATTTAGTTTTTCTGTTACTATTATTATTGTTTTTGTGTTTGTTTCTGTGCCTATGTTTCAGGTTGTAATAAATCTTTTGAAAATCTATAATATTTTTAAGTCTTCAGTGAACGAGAAGTAGCTTAAAAAAATACGTTTTCAAGTATAAAAATTTTACCTATGGAATAAATGAATGTCTAAATTATTAACACTTGCATTTACAATTTTCTTCCTAAACACAGGATATAAATTCATAAACTTAAAACTTTTTTTTTACAAAAAATTGACAACGGGTCTATAGTATTGCAGCCTTTGTAACATTCTAAGCATCATACAAGATTTGTAAGCGATTTTCAGCCGTGTCCTCTAAGGGATGAGGTTTATAATCTTCGACGACATTCGGCCAGGGCTCTGGGATATCACTGATGACGAATATAGGTCTATGATGTGGTTCTAAATTGCGGTCTGTGATGTGTAGAGGCTGGGGCCAGAACTGAAACAAAGGCGTTTTTTTTATTTTTTTTATTTTGTGATTTCCCATTAGAAAAACAGCACATCAGAAATTACTTAACAGACAAATTTAAAAAATAAATAAAAAGTTATGTATTTATGATGAAATTCTTTGGTTGCACGCACCCCTTTTGCATATCCCAAATTTATATCCTAAGGTTGCCTAGAGGCAATTGCTACATAGCAATAAGGCACGTTAACTTTCTATTTTAACCGACTTCAAAAAAGGAGGAGATTCTCAATTCGACTGTATGTTTTTTTTTGTATATATGTTACGCAATAACTCCGGTATTTGTGCACCGATTATCATGATTCTTTTTTTGTTGGAAAGAGCGTACCTCCATAGTGGTCCCATTTAATATTGAAGAAACCTATAAGAGTGGCTGTTCACGCATGAAGATTCATTTTTATAAATAGCGCCTAAGTTTTATTATATGGAGCAATTATTTTAATGGTTAATTTTGCTATTCTCTAATTCAAGGCGTTTTTCTCTCTCAATATACAACATAATTTGAGTAGTGAGAACCAATTTTTATTATCTCCTGTGTCAAGTCCCGTATAGTGGCGAACTAGGGGATGAATCTGGGTTTGCGCACTTTTCGGCAACCGATTTAAAAAAAACTTGGCAAATAGACGTAATTTCACGTACTTTTGAGGTCGGTTTTTTTAGTACTCTGTACTGAGATTATTATACTTATTGTTTTGTATTGTCACTGTATTTTTTTTATAATATGAAGTGACGGGACGAACAAGTCGTGTGCCTTATTGTAAGCTACACTGTCCATAACATTTATTATTATTCATCGAATGTGCGTGATGTGGAATAGACTCCTTCTGAAGTGAAGTACAGTGCTTCCATTTTCAATGCACACGAATATTAATTTCCATGTCTATTAATTATTAGATTTAAAATCTATAATAATTTTAATTCTTAACAACGTACTTTATTAATTAATTTTTTATTGAATTTATATTCAATTATTGTTTGTGAAATTACTCCACTAGTTTGTTATAATTATTAATACAAAGATCGAACACTTAGAAAAAATTCCTTCGATCCTTTTTTGTTTTTTCTGAGTGTTCGATCTTTGTATTAATAATTATAACAAACTAGTGGAGTAATTTCACAAAAAATAATTGAATTTCAATTCAATATAATTTAATTAATACAGTGAATAGCGACATCTCTCGCCAGGACTGGTAGCTGTAAAGGTACTAACTGGGTGATAAATCTGTCATAGATTTCTCATAGATGGCGCTACGACTAAAAAATCGTTGAAAGACCAAGTACAAAGACACGACGCAAGCACATAGAAAAATTCGTGAGGTTCGTTGGTTCGTACCGTGGCTTAGTTGGTATAGCGTCTGGCACGGTACGCAAGAAGACGTCGGTTCGAATCCGATCGGATCGAAGGAATTTTTTCTGAGAGTTTTTTCTGGGTGTTCGATCTTTGTATTAATAATTATAACAAACGTACTTTATTGTTGTTTTGTTTTGATTTTCGTGTGAACTATATAGAGCTGTAAAACTATTTCCCTATTTTTAATAACATTTTACTCCATGTCAATGAGCAAGTTAACAAAAATATAAAGTGAATAAAGTGTGCTTCTCTTATATAACTAAAAATGAATGTTTTTCCAGTTATTAATTCAGTTCGTATCTGAACGCATTTTTACATATGGCATAGCTGTGTTAGTTACATTTGCCATCGATGGAATGGTTGTCTTTCTTGAACGTATCGGCCTCTTGTAAGAAATACAAGTTCATGTTGTTAATTATCTGTCGTGCCTGTACAATAAATAAAAAATCTAATAGCAACTCTATGTACTTCCAAGTCGACTGAAACCGTCCGGTCTGTACCAAAGGTAAAGGGCAACCATTGACTTACAATTACATGGACGTCGGGTCCGCGCTAAAAAGTGTCCGAACTTATAGGGCGTTCAAATCGTATACAGAGCGTCATTCACGCTTTAGTCTTCGTTTGTTCGACTGACAGCGAAGCAAACAAAATTAGACAGTACTGCGATGACATTACAATTTAAATTCAACGTTTTAGCTTTTTCATATTCCTTTACATGTCACTACGTTTAAATAGGTTGACTTGGGACATTTTTTTCGTGGTTTTTGTATTAGACCCGTCGTACACCAAATATACCAAAGGCAAAGGGCAACTGAATAAAACCCGACGACAGCCGAAACACGAAGTTTTCAGAGGGATATTGGGAAAATAAGAAGCACTGTATTTCCTTCGCGCTAGGACGGGTTCTTCCAAATTATTTTAACTACAAAAACTACTTTCGTTCCCTAGTCGCCAAGCCTATAATAGTGATGTGACATGTTATGAATTTCCACCTTATACTAATTCAATTCTCCAAAGTCATCCAAAGTCAAAGAAGAACATAATAGAACAGGAATATCTTAATATTTATATATCGGAGTTAAGAGAGTCGTCGAAGGAAATACATCCTCAACAAAGATTTAGTCAGGAATGACTTGATAATCGGTTATTCACTGAACATCAACTGATTGAAATTAGCTGTTTTATGCACGTTTCATAGTAATTTTCACAGTAGAGGATGCACAAAATAAAATACGACCCTAAACGCAAGGACTTGAGTACAATTTCTATGTTTCAATCATACTCAAATCCTGACTTGAGCAATGAGTAGAGTTCTAGAATACGACCCTAAAGAGTTATAATGTGATTCGTAGGTGGTCTAAAGTACCGGCACGCTATGATGGCCGTTTTGACGTTTGTCCGCTCATCAAGTTTTGTATTAATTCATAACTACGTTGAAGGAGCTAATTGTTGCCAATAGTGACGTACATTAATATTTATAGAATGTATAATTTTACGACACAACTCGGCATTTGTTTTTCGATATTCGAAATTTTTTAAAATAAAGTCTAATACGATCATCACTTATAGGATCGCTAGCCAAGTTTTTGTTTTCGTTTTATTAAAACTGCTAGCCGATTAAAAAGCTACCCCTTGCAATACTAGTTACAAATCTAAAAACTTGCAGATGCGACACGCATTTGATTATATTTTTATCGATAATTAACTGTGATTCACTCACTATTGTAATCTGTCAAAACGGCCATCACAGCGTTCCAGTCCTTTAGCAAATCGTTTACCTAATAATTAAAAAACTTCACGAAACAGTACACCGAATTCTGTTACAATACGTTTGAAGTGATAACTGATTCCGACATATGTATTACTTTTTATTGAAAATTAAATGTTTCATTGACGCTTTAAGGCGACACTAGCGTATCAGCCAAGATAATGTAAGATACTTTAAAGCGTCCACGACAGTCAAGTAAAACAAAGAATCAAATACAATCGAAATTTTGTATTCTCACCATTGACTTACAAATAAATGGACGACGGGTCTAATACAAAAACCACGAAAAAAATGTCCCAAGTCAACCTATTTAAACGTAGTGACATGTGAAGGAATATGAAAAAGCTAAAACGTTGAATTTAAATTGTAATGTCATCGCAGTACTGTCTAATTTTGCTTGCTTCGCTGTCAGTCGAACAAACGAAGACTAAAGCGCGAATGACGCTCTGTATACGATTTTAACGCCCTATAAGTTCGGACACTTTTTAGCGCGGACCCGACGTCCATATAATTGTAAGTCAATGATCACTGCAGTAATTTTTAGTTCACTAACCAGGACTGCAAAGGTGGCACCGGTGTGTCACGACCACAGAACAAAAAATACAGTAGAAGTGGTTAGTTAGTCTCGCACGCGTGCCAACTATAGGTCTCTTAGGACTTATGTGAGCTCACTCCGCCATTTTCGCTTTGTACAGTATGGTTGTATCAATTCTTTCGCGTAAGTTCTATGAAAAAAAATGCTTTATTGTACTGTTTTGGAGTGCAAAACTTCTAAGCGCGGACCCGACGTCCATATAATTGTAAGTCAATGATTCTCACCCTTATAGATTCATCGCCTCGTTTTCTCCTCAAATAGTTGAAGCAGCAGGATCTGAAGTGTCGAGTGCCGCAGGCCGCAGCGCATTCGCTGCCACACGAGTCGCAGGAGAGACTGGCCGCCCATAGTGTGCTCCCTGTGTTAAATGTATAAACAATAAATTCACAGAATGCTAAATCCATCGTGTATATAACCAGAAATAGAGAAGAGATGTCATTTAATTTGTTTGAAAACTATTCTGCCAAATCTTTACGGTGACAACTACGCTCCGGTGTTGTCAATTGTTTCACTTCAAATGACTAGTTTAACTTGAGATTTGCTATAATGGACGATAATTGAAAAATTACATATTTAATTACCGATGAAATGTGATTCCTGTTCTTTTGTAATTAGATGTTTTGCTGTTTTTCCCACACCACCGAATGGAACAGCACGCCATTGTTAGAGATATTATCTTTATTACAATAAATACAGAATATTTTTTGGAATATACGGAGACGTACACACAGGTCAGTTGTTGGCGCTGTACTATTTCAGCTTTCTAATTTGTGATTGCAGCGCAAGCGAGAGTTGATATTGCCTGACGAGTTGCCAGGTATGGATGGCCCTTATTTCGTCTCTATTTCTGGTTACATACTCGATGGCTAAATTTAATCCAATGTGATTGTGCTCAATCACCTACTTTGTTACATATCCCAAAGTAACTACATAATGCAATCGAGGTGGCAACATGCTAAATTTTTTCCAAGACGCACAAAAATGACATTTGCAGGGTTGCCACTTATCGTGAACTTTTAAATAGTAATGTAGTCATTGTCGACAGTTTTATCGATAGATTGTGAAGTGAGATACAGTTTTCGTAAAGAAACGTATGAATAGTTTAATGTTCGATAGAGTATTTGAAAATACTCTATCGAGCGAAAGAGAGAAAGATTTAAAGAATCCACGAATGAAATCTGTAGATAATTCTTTAAGTAAATATATATAGTAATATATATAGCAGTACAGTTCCTTGTGAAATGGTTAGTCCAGGAAGTACTGCCACCCCAAAACGGGGGCTTTGTCACTCACTGGGCAAGGGTTCACGGGTTGGTTGGTATGCCAAGTATTCCCGACATGCCACTAACGACGGAGTGGAGAAAGTCTCCCAGAGGTGGGTCCGCAGTCGCGGACAACCGCAGGCGGGGCCGTGGATCGTAAACCACGTGGCCACAGCCCCGTCCCATGCGGAGTGTGGGAATACCCGGGGGTTTTTAGTGAGTAGGAGTCCCACATAACCACCGCGCCTCCCCGTGACGCGGTGGTATCCATGACGGATTTTCCCCCGGAAAGAAAAAAAAAAAAAAAAGGAAGTACTGCCACCTTATCTGTTTCTGCCGCCAAAAAGTAATGTGAGTATTACTACGTTCTGATTTTGTAAGGGTAAGGGTGCTGGTGAAATTCCAGGCACATGGGACTTATCAGCTTGTGTCTCGGGATAACTGGCCTAAGGGGCTCTGCTGCCGCAGTTCTTTGCAATTTAAAGCTCAGAGTGGCACTACAACTGTTATGGACAGGCGTGTAGCTTACCATCAGACGCGTGTTCGTTTGCTTGCTCTTGATATTAAAAAAATGAAATTTTGACTTATGGTAATAATAATTTATTTATTTTGATTTTAGTGCAGCACCAACCAATTTTTTTTGTTCGGCCCAGTGGGGTGACTGGTAAAAAATGCCTTACGGCATCAAATCTACCATTTGTACTTCATTCTATTGTACAAAAAAATTTACCAGTATTCAATCGATAGTTGCTTGTAAGCTGGCAAAGTGGCAAACCTTAAGGGGCCCATTCATTATCCTGCACCGCAGTCCGCCTTGCCGTCCGCCGCGTAATGCAGGATTATGAATGTAGTCGCATTGTGCAAGCCATCCTGCAATGCCAAGCAGGATACCCCTTGCGTCCTGTGAGAGTCCAACAAGCTCAGCCCACCACTAGCAGTCTGCAGTGCAGGATTGTGAGTAATCCGGCGTGATGAGCTGCCGTTTTGTGCGCAGGAGAGTGAATGTTGTTGCCAAACACAACCATAGATCACAACAATCAATCACACAATTTTCTAGGCTATACTCAAACTAGGAATTCATTTATTATACAATGTTAAAGATGAAACAGCTCAAGAGTTTAGATATTTTTTGAAGAATAATATAAGTAATGGACATTATGATTCTAACATAGCAATATTCTCAATAAAACTGATGCTGGGCCATATGCAGGATAGTGTGTGAGCAGTCTACTGCCTTGCAGGTAGTGAATGAGCCGTTTCATGAACAACTGTCCTTTTACTCTTCCTTGGAAAAAAAGACTACGCTAGTACAACATATATATCGTTGGAAAAAAACAGTGGTACTGCAAGTCAATGTAGCCCTAAAACAATACAAGCATTGACTCTGTAAGAAGAAGATGTAATGCTACAAAAAATTACGACGAGTATCAAATGGTGAAATGAATTCTAACAAAAATGAGTCACTACGATAAAATAATAAAACTTACATAAAAATTACTAAATACACTCTACGAATGATTTATCATTGTACCCTTGTAATTAACCTGAAATCGATAAATAACTGCTTAACTAGTTATTAATTATTTCTCAGACATATTTCTGTCTCTTTAAGTCTCTCAGTACAGCAAATATTTATATTACATATTTATACATGTGTTATCGAAGTAGTTTTCTGTCGGTGTAGTGACCTATCGCATGTTTGTGTAGTCGAAGCAGTGCTCTGTCGGACTAGTGATCTGTCGAACATGTGTTTTGTCGGAATAATGTCCCGTCGAAATAGTTTTTGTCGAAATTAAGTACCACACTCGGTGCAAATAATATCTCGCCAACTATACTACTGTCACCATCGAGTATATAACCAGAAATAGAGACATATAACAGTTTACAATAATACAAATACAAAATACAATAGTTTGTTTGAAACTATTCCGCCATATAATTACTGTGACAGCTGAGCTCCTATTGGCCAGCCCGAATTTGAAACAATTGACGGGTGTCGTCAAGTGTTTCACTTCAAATCAACCAGTTAACTTGAGCTTTGCTATATTAAACGAAAATTGAAAAATTACATCTTTAATTACCGATGAAATGTGATTCCGTTTGTTTTGTAATTAGATGTTTTACTCTTTTTCCCGCACTACCGTATAGAACAGCCCCCCATTATTAGTGATATCTTTATTACAATAAATACAGCATATTTTTGGCATATACGGAGACGTACACACAGGTCAGTTATTGGCGCTGTACTATTTCAGCTTTCTAATTTGTGAGTTCAGCGAAAACGAGAGTTGATATTTAAAAGTGATATAAGGCCCATTTGCCTGATGAGTTGCCAGGGATGGAAGACCCTTATTTCGTCTCCATTTCTGATTATATACTCGATGACCGTGACAAACACAAAAGCAAAGTTTCAGGTGTATAATAACTCTTGTCTACATACTTTTGCTCAATTACACAGAAAACAACACTGTCAAACCAGATACAGAACCTGTTTGAAAATTTGTTACATAATTTCAAAAATCTAGCATGCGATGTTGTCTCATGCGTAGTATTAAAATTTAAACGTAATTCTACAAACACACGGTCTAAACTGACCTGGGTCGAAATCAGCAGAAGGTGTGGCCTCCTTCTTAATGCGTTTAGAATCAGCGTGTGACCAAATCGCTACAAAATGTCATTAATTATCATAAAAAAAAATTGAATTTTCTCTATTAGCGCGGATGGACGGTTACAACTTACTTAGAACTTAAAAAATTATTTACAGTGCTTCTATTTTCAATGTCCATTGGCAAACTTCGTGTTTCAGCTGTCGTCGGGTTTTATTCGTTGCCTTACCTTTGGTACAGACCGAACGTTTTCAGACGACTTAAAAGTATATAGACTTGCTATTACATTTTTTATTTATAGCTAAGATACGGATTGAACTGAAATGATTAATAACCGGGAAAATATCCATTTTTAGTTACATGTTGTGTGATAACATCTAATTTAAATACCCTGTAAAATTTATTAGTTTCATTATTTAACATGATTTGTGTATGATTGATGATGATATATAATTATTTGATCAATATTTTGTAAACTGGCGCTCACTTTTCGAAGAGTAGTATAAAATTACATGTAATTGTGTTTGTATGAAATTTGTAATATGAAAAGAACAATAAATAATTTTGTATATAAAAAAAGCACTTTATTTACTTTACTATTTTTGTTAACTCGCTTATATACACGGAGTACCTAAATGTTATTAAAAATAGATAAATAGTTTTACAGCTCTATGTAGGTCACACGGCAATCAAAATAAAACAACAATAAAGTACGTTGTTCAAAATTCTAATAATTATCCATTTTAAATCCAATAATTAATGGGCATGGAAATTAATATTCGTGTGCATTCGGAAATCCGATGATTGCCGAGGGACATTGAGAAATTAGAAGCACTGTACATAGTTGAACTTTCATACTATATGACTATTTTTTTATTTAATTTCAAAATGGAGTGAGGTCAGACGGGCCTAATTTTGGTAGTTGTGAGTCGCGTCTTTTGTGTCTCGAATTTAACTTTAGACTGAAATTCGATTAAGGCGCCAGACGAATGCATTTTATTCAGTCGCTTTTAAAGCGTTTGTACGGGGTGGGGTGTTTGTCTCATATAGTGTAATCAATTGATTAAATATTACACACTGTTCACACATGAAGACTTCTTTCATTAAATAATATAACGCCTAAATTTTGTGAAGAGCAATTTTAATAGCTTATTTTTGCTGTGCTAAAATTGTAAGGCGTTCCTAACTTCCTCAATATTATATTCTATGCAGTGGGCACCGATGTTTTATTACATACTCTGTTAAGTCCCGTACACATACTGTCACACACCAATGTATAATAATCTCAGTACAGAGTACTAAAAAAATCCGACCTCAAAAGTACGTGGAATTACATATAATTACCAAGTTTTATTCAAATCGGTTGCCGGAAAGTATGCAAACCCGGATTCATCCCCAAGTTCGCCATTATACGGGACTTGACACAGGAGATAATAAAAATCGGTTCTCACTACCCGAAGTATATTGAGAGAAAAACGCCTTGAATTAAAGAATAGCCAAGTCAACCATTAAAATAATTGCTCATTATACTAAAATTTAGGCACTATTATAAAAAAATTAATCTTCGTGCATGAACCCGAAGAAGAACCCTTAGAGGTGGATCATTTTCTTCAAAATTAAATGGAACCACTATAGAGGTACCCTCTTTCCAGCAAAAAAAGAATCATGAAAATTGGTTCACAAATACCGGACTTATCGCGTAAAATACATACAAAAAAACATACAGTCGAATTGAAAACCTTCTCCTTTTTTTGAGGTCGGTTAAAAAGAAAAATCTGTTGGTTTAGTAATGAATACTCTAGTAAATACCTACATTATTGGAGGTATATCGTGTTGCTTTTTTGTAGATCTACTGATGATTAATATTTTTTATTTTCACATATATTCAATGGTTTCATCAGCGCAAGCACATGACAGCGGAAACACAAAAATTGACATCTTTTTAACCGACTTTAAAAAAGGAGGACGTTCTGAGTTCGACTGTTTTTTTACCCAACTGCGGGATTTACGTTTTTCAAGTGTATGTATTTATTTTGTATTTTGTATTTATTATGTATTTATTTAGGCCTATTTATTTTTCACGATGTACAGCCTAAACGGCTTGATGGATTTTGACATATGAGGTGTTGTTAGATACGTCTTGGTTGTGGGACTGTCATAGGTTATAAAAAATAATCAAAATAGTGAGGGGGAATATCTTTTTTTATCTTTCCAGCTACATTTTTTTGCATCGAGTATATAACCAGAAATAGAGACGGAATGTCATTTAATTTGTTTGAAAACTATTCTGCCATAGCATTACTGTGACAACTGCCCTCCGATTGGCCAGCCCGAGTTCGAAACTATTGACGTGAAATAATTGACGGGTGTCGTCAATTATTTCAAGTCAAATCGACCAGTTAACTTGAGCTTTGCTATAATGGACGTAAATTGCAAAATTACATATTTAATATTTAATTACCGGTGAAATGTGATTCCGTTTGTTTTGTAATTAAATGTATTGCTGTTTTTCCCACACCACCGAATAGAACAGCACGGCATTGTTAGAGATATTATCTTTATTACAATAAATACAGAATATTTTTTTAATATACAGAGACGTACACATAGGTCACCAGTTGGCCTGTCTATATTTCAGTGCAAACGGGAGTCGATATTTATAAGAGCTGTATCGCTAATGTGTTACCAGGAATATATGGCCCTTATTTCGTCTCTATTTCTGGTTATATACTCGATGTTTCTTTGCAGTCGGGTTTTTGTTTTATTAATTAATATTTAGACTAGTTTTATTATTTGTGTGTATGTTACGCGATAACTCGGTATTTGTGAACAGAACCCATTTAAATTTGAAGAAAATATTCCACCTCTAAGGGTGGCAAACGAAGGGGATGAATCCGGTTCGGCGCACGTTCCGGTAACCGATTTCAATAAAACGTTCGAGATCTTTTTTTATAATTTTGTCAACTGCTTTAAACAAATACCAAATGTTAATTCAAGATTATCTTAATACATCCCTAAAATCACATCTGAATTAGTTCGATGTTAAGGAGATAATAGTGCATAAAAGCACAGACAAACTGACAAAACATTATACTGATGTGTTGGCTTTGGTATTGAGTCTTCAGTTGGTCACCACCATAGATATTTTTCGTTTTCGTCAAACCAATAGACTGTAAAATCACTTACAGTGTTTTGATTTAACAGCGCTCAAAATTAATTCTCTAGTTCTAATCTGTATCCTCACATTTCAACTTTGGAGGTGTTAAGTGTTTTTGAATGAGATATCAATAATAATCTCAGTACAGAGTACTAAAAAAACCGACCTCAAAAGTACGTGGAATTACGTAGTATAGACGTATATTTATAGTTTTATTGAAATATCTAAGGACTTGACACTGGAGATAATAAAAATCGGTTCTCACTACTCAAAGTATATTGAGAGAAAAACGCCTTGAATTGGAGAAATAGTAAAATCAACCATTAAAGTAATTGCTCCTAAATTAATGTTAGGCGCTATTTATGAAAATGAATCTTCATGTGTGAACAGTCACCCTTCGAGGTGGATGATTTTCTTCAAAATAAAATGGGACCACTATGGAAGTACCCCCTTTCCGACAAAAAAATAATTATGAAAATCGGTTCACAAATACCGGAGTTATCGCGTAACATACCTACAAAAAAAAAGAAAAAAAAAAACATACAGTCGAATTGAGAACCTCCACCTTTTTTGAAGTCGGTTAAAAACTAAAATACATTGTTAGTTTTAAAAATTTGAAATTATTTTGGCTCAACACGGAACCCAGCAATACAGCCTTTGGAATTACGAAATGCAGCAGTGTTGCGGAGCGCCTGAGTTAGCGAAAATTCTTAGATCACGCAAAAATCTCAGGAGCGAGTCTCAGAGTCGTATTCTAGAACTCTAGAAATTCTCAAGTCAGGATTTGAGTATGGTTTAAAGCACTTGATATCATACTCAAGTCCCTGCCATTAGGGTCGTATTTCCAGTGCAGTCCTGACTTGAGCATTGAATAGAGTTCTAGAATACGACCCTCAGTCTACTAACTTACATTTGTATTCGCCATTCTAAAAAAAAAACGCCATTCTATCGTGTCAAACCAAAACACTGCAAGGTTCAATACAGTGTTTTGTAATTTCATAACAATAAAAACCTTTTCGGCTGTTAACGAGGGAAAATAAATTTATTCGTTTTTCAATAGATATAACTATCAAAAGTAAAATTATAATGCCTAGATAGATTTCTTTAATACCTAATGTACAACGTAATTTAAGTTTATCTTTTTATGTTATTAATCTCTAAAATTACAAAAAAATTGACAAATACTTTACGCCGGTGTTTCTCAAAATGCTGCTTTTGATATTACAATGTTTTGGTTTGACAAGGTAGATATGTGTTGATAATTTTGTTTTATTTTTGTTGTAATGGTACTGATTACAGCATTATTTTCAAACAATATACTTTTGCTGTAAATTGAAATGTATTTTTTTTTATTCATATAACTTATTAACGATCATATTATGTTTATTCCACGTTTGAATTTATGAAGTAATTGAGCAGACACCGGAACAGGCAGAATATGATTAAAAATAAACAAATATAAAATGCAAAATATTAAATCAATTTAGTTATTTTTACTCATAATTACAAATTTTCTTTTAAATTTCGTAGTAATGACTAGTTCCGCATCAAAAATATAGAATAATTCGCTCAGCCTGTACCGACGCCCGATAATATTTAATAAATGTAATATTTTTTGTTCCTCGAAAAAACAAATAGTCACGACTATTTGTTTTTTTTTTAATTGCAGTTTAAAAATGAAAAGACTAATAATTAATACTTACCAACGAGCATGAGCGATACCACAGCCGTGAGTTTCAACATTTTTAAAAATACATTAAAAAAACTAAAATTTCGCGCCAATATTTCTCGAAGATGGCGCCGCTCACGCCGCTGTCAAAGCAATGGCGGAATATCCGCTTACATCCCCTTTTTATAATGCCACAAAGTTTACTCTCTTATTATGCGTGGGTAGCACCACAGACGTTACAGAAATTTATTATTTATTCGCTTATATTACAGAGCTGTTTGAAAATCTTAATTCTAATTCAAATATGTTATTTCAGAGAATACACCAAGTCTGGGTTACACACGAAGTTTGGTCCAGTGTTCAAAGAATGAAATCTGGACCCGACCAGCAATGATATTTAAGAGCATAGGTTTCCAAACTGTTTGGTTCACCGCCCACTTAGGGCGGCCATACACGGGCAGCTTGAAGCAGCTAGTAGCGACTGCTTCAAGTTGAGACAACACAGCAAACTACAGTCTTCTATGTACAACATACACGAAACCACTCGAGCAGTTGCGACAGCTTCGGGCAGTTTGAAGCATGGTGAAATTTCATTATGCAGTCAACCAGTCACCAGGTTTACACTGACTGCTCGAGCTGTCGATTTACTGCCTAGATCTCTTCGTTTACGTCACGCGCGCATTTACACAGCTGCAAATTCCAAATGCTAAAGATTTGAATTAAAATGAAATTGTGACTTGTTGAACGCAGTTGATACCAACTGCTGCAGTTGGTATGAACTACGCCAGCAGGTATCAATGGCAGCTTCAGGCTGTTGACTATGACTGTAAGATCGGTCCGTGTATGTTGATCATTAGCTAACTGCTCGTGCAGGCCGTGTATGTCCACCCTAAGGGTGGTCTGCGCGAGAGCAGTTCACACTCGAGCAGTCAGTATATGCCTGGCGACCGCTTGACTGTACGATGAAATTTCACAGCCCTGCAAACCTCCCGAAGCAGTCGCAACTGCACAACAGCAACAGTTTTTTTTATGACATCAAGTGACGGAACGAACAAGTCGTGCGCCTGATGGTAAGCTACACGCCTGTCCATAACAGTTGCAGTGCCACTCAGAGCTTTAAATCGCAAAGATCTGAGGAGCACTGCAACAGCTTACCCTTTTTAAGGGTAAGCTGTTAAGGTGGGAGTACTTCCCTAGACGAACTCTTGTAAAAATGTAAACATATTGTTTATTTACAAAGAGCACCACTAGGGTTTTTTGCTCATTCTTCTCGGGGGAATCTCCTTTGCAAATTAGCAATAGAGTTCAATCAGTCAGTAAGCAAATTACACTTGAAATGGTCATATTGATTAAACTCTACTGCTCATACGTTGTCCCTATCTACTGACCCGAGAGATAGAGTTTTCCGCAGAGATTACGGGCTCGACGTCAAGACCAGGGTACGGCGGGCGTCCAGGCCTAGCCCTCCGCCAGTGATACGCCTTTGCGGGAGTCTCTGGCCGACCCGGACTTGGGTAAGGACGCGCTGGGATTTGTCGTTAGCTGCAGAGACGGACATGTTCGTCGTGACGGGTGACGGGTGACGTAACTTGATTATAAATAATCTCAGTACAGAGTACTAAAAAAACCGACCTCAAAAGTACGTGGAATTACGTCTATTTGCTAAGTTTCATTGAAATATCCCATAGTTCGCCACTATACAGGACTTGATACTAGAGATAATAAAAATAGGTTCTCACTACGACACTACTCAAAGTATTTCGAGAGAAAAACGCCTTGAATTGGAGAAATAGCAAAATCAAGTAAATAATTGCTAAAAGTAATTGCTCCTAAATTAAAGTTAGGCGCTATTTATAAAAATGACTCTTCATGTGTGAACAGCCACCCTTTGAGGTGGATGATTTTCTTCAAAATTGGACCACTATGGAAATACCCCCTTTCCAACAAAAAAAGAATCATGAAAATCGGTTCACAAATACCCGAGTTATCGCGTAACATACATACAAAAAAAAAAAGAAAAAAAAAGAACATACAGTCGAATTGAGAACCTCCTCCTTTTTTGAAGTCGGTTAAAAAGAAATATCAATTACAATATTTATTGACCATTGTACGTTATAGCTATATGACCAAAAGTATGCTATTTTCTACTCATACTTACTAAATATTTATCGGGACTGCCTCATATCTTTCTACATTAGCTTTGTTTTAGTGACCGAGAAGGGCCTATAACCTGTGCGCGCACAGAAACCTTCTTAGTTCAAGTTCTGGCCCCAGATCAGCCATTGTACAGGGTTGTCACTGACTTCATCCAGTTCTCTAGAGGCTAGTGCCTCGGGTGAGCCGCCCTGGGTGCACGTACAGCACCCTGCCTATTTACCAGATAAATACCAAAGTTGTAGGCACGCTCACTTCCCGTTGCGCATTGACAATAGGAAAAAAATCCCATTGGCTAGACCAGTGTAATCATCGATCTGGTCAACGGGAAACACTGCGATTTGACAGGAAGCGTAACACGTAAAATAAAAAATATCACCCTTTATTTATGGATAGAATTGTACCTTTCGAACTTTCGAATAGTAACACCTATTTTTTTTTTCTTTGAAAAATGTCACTGATTTTGCCTAACAATCAAAACAGGAACTAAATAAGATATAAAAAAAATATTAGATACTCGTTTTGGTGAACCAAATACATTGACTTACAAATAAATGGACGACGGGTCTAATACAAAAACCACGAAAAAAATGTCCCAAGTCAACCTATTTAAACGTAGTGACATGTAAAGGAATATGAAAAACCTAAAACGTTGAATTTAAATTGTAATGTCATCGCAGTACTGTCTAATTTTGTTTGCTTCGCTGTCAGAAGAAACAAACGAAGACTAAAGCGTGAATGACGCTCTGTATACGATTTTAACGTCCTATAAGTTCGGACACTTTTTAGCGCGGACCCGACGTCCATATAATTGTAAGTCAATGACCAAATATATTAATTTTTAATCCTCAATTTCACTAAAATGTCGATTACAATAGAATGGAATTCATTTATTATAACGCCACAACTCAAAAATATACAAATAGAAATAAAAAAAGACAAAGCAAAAGTAAACCAAAAAATTTAATAAAAAATCAACTCAATTTGATTATATGTCATGTATGCGGCTGTGGCATATGTATAAGGCTCCACCAGCCGAGTAAAGACCGTGACGCTGATTTTCAGTTAGGTAGATTACGGTAGTTATGATAAGTACTGATCTTCAGTCATCGAGTATGTAACCAGAAATAGAGACAAATAAGGGTCTTCCATCCCTGGCAACTTATCAGGCAAATGGGCGTTATACCACTTTACATTACATTAGTACAGCGTCAACAAGTGACTTGTGTGTACGTCTCCGTATATTCCAAAAATATTCTGTATTTATTGTAATAAAGATAATGTCTCTAACAATGGGGGCTGTATCATTCGGTGCTGTGGGCAAAACAGCAAAACATATAATTACAAAAACAAACGGAATCACATTTCATCGGCAATTAATAAAATAAATAAATAACGCACACACTCAACATAGCCCCGCACTAGGGAAACCCTGTGTCGCGGGTGCCATGGACACACACATAGACAACCACAAATTACACCCAAACTCACGAGAGATATAATTGTAGGCCATACAACTATTTCTCTCGGCCCGGGAATCGAACCTGGGACCTCTGCGTGGCAGTCCGGCATGGTAACCGTTCGGCCACGGAGACAGTTAATTAAATATTAAATACGTAATTTTTCCATTTTCGTCTATTGTAGCAAAGCTCAAGTCAAACAGGTCACCCGTCAATTGTTTCGAATTCGGACTGGCCAGTCGGAACGCAGTTGTCACCGTAATGATTTGGCAGAATAGTTTTCAAACAAATTAAATGACATTTCGTCTCTATTTCTGGTTATACACATACTCGATGGGTCGTGTCGTGGTAACGCGTCGATTCGGCTGGTAGCATAAGTACTAACTAAATCAATTTATCACTCAATAACTGCCTTATTAACATTTCGTAACAAGTAACGTAATATTTGTTTACTTTAAAAGAATATTTAAAAAAGCCATCACAACTTTCAACTTTTCCCATAAATATGCAAAAATATTTCTCGTGGACCAAGCGCGTGAGGAATTTCAAAATGATCAATTTCTTTAAATAAATAATGACGTCAATGCACAACTGATTATTAATGTAATTTTTTTTTATAATCTTATACCAAGGAACAGGATGAAATAAGGACCTTCCATCCCTGGCAACTCATCAGACAAATGGGCGTTATACCACTTTTAAACATCAACTCTCGATTGCACGGTAATGCCTAAGAAGTAAATAGATTAATAGAATGTTATAGACCTTTCTTGACTTTTTTTCTCGCAATTGAAGTGAAGTCCCTAAGAAGTCCCTTGTTATCTATTTATTATTTTATATCGACGCCATTGCGATTAGGCTACTTTCGTGCACCCCAATAATTTAATACAGTAAATTCACTGTAAAGGTCCAGTTCATAAGTTGAAATAAATTCTACTGGTCACGTTGAATACGTTTAAAAATACCGTGGCATGGTACTGATTGCTCTCTACCAAATCATTTTTAGACTATACGTCGATGGAACTTATGTATTTACGTAACTGCCTCATTAATTATTATCACGGAGATATGTTTGTTCCGAATTAAATAAAAATAAAAAGTCTTTATTTGACATGCAAAATACATTATAAAATCCAAACAATTATAAAATATTAAATAATTCGTTCAACCCGCATTGATCCAGTGTGGCGGACTAGGGCCTAAACCCTGGTCTGAGAGGAGACCCGTGCCCAGCAGTGGGATGACTCTATTCTAGAAAGCCACAGATGTGTTGATACAAGATTACATTGTGTTTAGATAACTGTTGCGAATGCAATTAAATTTAACAACATTGAGAATTTGCTTAAAAACGCCATTCGTTTTAACGTTGTGGAGTCCATTACGTATCGAGTATTAATTATACAGGGTGTAACAATTTGCATTAATTCTAATATAGATTTTATTTTATGTCACGTTTTGCCACCGCGATATTCATG